AGCTTGTATAGCCCATATAACTCTATATATAACCTTAAATTGTATTAAATATGGCTAGTATGGCTAGTGTGGCTTGGTATAATAATTTGGGCTATATATAGCTATATAAATTAAAATTTGCTTAATAAAACCAAATTTGTAAAAGCTTTTTTGTACTAGGGCTGTATACAAAACAATAGCTATAGTAGGTTGTGTTGTTGGCTATATAGAGACTGTATATTAAATAATGGCTATAATAGGCTGTGTTGTTGGCTATGTGAAGGCTATATATAGCTATATAAGTTAGAGTTTGCTTAATAAAGCCAAATTTGTAAAAGCATTTTTGTACTAGGGTTATGTATAGAATATTAGCTGCCGTAGGCTGAGTTATTGGCTATATAACAGAAGGGTCTAGCAGAATGTAGTAGATAATCTTATATTATACAAAAAATGTTTAAAGTAAAAAAGTAGCAATAGAGAAAATAAGAAGAAAATAAAAGAAGCTAGAAGAGTTAAATTTGTTTTATATAGTATTTTGGTTAATATTAGGCTTATAGCCTTCTTTTAGGATTTGTTATGACTGTAGAAATGAGCTTTACAACTTTTTTTTAGTGGTTCAAGAGAGGTTGTGAAGAAGGTTTTCAAGAAATTATAAGAAGAATCAATTTAAAAACTAAAGAATGTTAAAGTAGTTTTATACTATGAGTTTAAAAGCTAGAGACTTAAAACTTTTAAAATATATATAAAATCTTTTTGTGAACAAATTTACTTAGAGTATTAAAAGAAGATGATTCGCTATTAAAGGGTATAAGCATTATATAAACATTATAGTAAAAATCGGCAGGCATTACTTATAAAATTTTAATAGTAGTGGAATCTCAAAAAATTTTCACAAAGAGTACTATGTAAACTTCTTTTTTTACTAAATAAGTCTTTTTTTGACTTTTAATTAAAGTTGTAAAGGAAGTTTGTGTAGTTCTAATAGTAGCAAAATTGCTAAATTTGGTCTGGTAGATCACAAAACATCAATGATTTACATTTCATGATTATATAAAATTTTTTTTGCAGATCTGCAAAGAAATTTCATATGATCGCAAAATATAAATTATTAATATCTCATGATTCACCAAACCAAATTTAATGATTTTATTACTGTTAGAACCACATGAACTTTCTCTACAACTTTAATTAAAAGTCAAAGAGAGATTTATTTAGTAAAAAAAGAAGTTTACATAGTACTCTTTGTGAAAATTTTTTGAGATTCTACTACTATTAAAAGTTTATAAGTAATGTCTGCTGATTTTTACTATGAAATTTATACTCTTTAATTACAATTTTTCACTTAATTGTTATAGATAAAATTTTTGTTTGTTTTAGTACAGATGATCTACAGAATAAGTTCTCAGTTTATTATTTTAATAGTTTCTAAATTTACTATTATCTATATTTAGCTAATCTATATTTTTTACTTTTCTTATCTTTTGTATTTATATAATTTCCAAATTGGTCTTGTTTGGATTTTTACTTCTTTGAGTTTCTATACAGTTAGATCTCTATATAATTATCAAGTTAGTTATACTCTAATATAGTAATTATATAAAGATATGACTATAAACAAAAATTAGATTAATATTATATGATCTTTAGCCAATCAATGATTAATTAATAATTCATTAATCATAATCATCTTATATATAAATTTTTTTTATATTAAGTTTACCATTTAGTTTCTAAGTAATTTTATAGAGCTCATTAAGATAAATCCAATAGTGGTTAAATCATCAAAATTGGTCTAATAGTTGCTAAGATATCTTCAAAAAATGTTTTACTGACTATATAAATTTTTTGTAAACAATATAAAAAATTTTTCTATAGTCAGTGAAATATTTTTCAAAGATATCTCAGTATACACTAGGCCAATTTTGCTGATTTAACTACCATTAGATTCATCTTAATAAGCTTTATAACTTAGAAACTCAAAGATGATTAACTTAGTTAAAAAATTTTTTAATTAATAAATTAGTTATTATAAAGAGATTTTTTTATTAATAAATTTGATTTAAAAATTAAATTTTAAGATAATAGTAATTATAAGTGATTTGTAACTATTCTTTAAACCATTAGGAATAAGCACTCAAATATGAGCGCTTAAATTTAAAATAGTAGTTTATAATCTAATTTTATAAAAATTTAAAATATTTAAAAAAAATTTACATAATAATATTTGAAAATAAAGATTATAAAATAGTAATTTTTATTGGAAAAATCTAGTTGGTGCTCCTGTGCACATTGTGCTCCTATAGCAAAATTATGCTTACAATATAATTTATATTAATATTAAAATTAGGGTTAGGGTTAGAGTAAGGTAAAATTGCAAGAAGAATATTTTTTCTTATACTATACAATTAGGGTTATCCAGTTAAAATTTTGAGATATTAGCAATTTTATAGTAGTGTAGGGGGCACTGACTAGTCTTGTTCTTTTTATTTTTAAATTATAAATAAAAAAAATAAAGTTATCTATATACTAAAAATATTCAAAAATTTAAAAAATTTTTTTAAAAATAAAATATATCTTTACTTTTTGACAAACTTTTTAAAATTTTATACTTATTTCTCTAAAATTTTAGAATAAAATTATAAGATTAGTTTTTAAAAATAACTTTAATTACAATTTTTTTTTAATTTTTTAAATAAAATTTTGATTTTAATTAGAAGCAAAAAAACTTTTTTGGAATTTTTTATATATAAAAATTTAAAAATTTTTAAAAATTTTTATAATAAAAATTTAGAATTGACAATATTTAAAATTGATTATTTTTAATATTATTAAAGTTATACAAAAATTTTTATATATTATTAATTAATTAGATACTATATTTTAATTTAAGCTTAGAAATAGAGGGTCAAACTTAATAAAGTTTTAAATAATTTTAAAAATTATATTAAAAAAAATTTAAGCACTCATATATGAGCACTTGATAGTTTAAGGGATAATGAGATTTTTTACTATATTTTAAGTCCATTACACAAAATTGGGTGCTTAAATAGAGGTATGACTATATGTAGTATGATTATAAAAAGGTTTGACTATATTTTGTATACTTGTTATTTTTTTTATTAAGATTTCATTAAAGCTTAAAATTTTTTTAAATCGAATATATCTCAAGTCATAAACTGCTATTTAGTTAAATTTTTATTTGATAGATTTAGTAATTTATTTTGGATAAACTCTTATACTTTCTACTAAAAATTTTACTAGCTCATGTTTCAAACCAACTTTTGCTGCTACTGCTTCTTGTATATCCCAAATCTGAATATTATACTTATACTTAATACTATCTCTTTTTATTTTTGTATTCTTTAATTGATATGAAATGATACTTGTTTTATATTATATCTAGAACAATTTTAGCTATATTCAGAAAGTTTTATTAACTTAAGTAATACTATACTAACTTAAATATAATCTTCTATCTATTGACAAATTACAAACTAGAACAATTTTAGTTATACTTAAGAAATTACACTAACTCTAGTAATACTATACTGCTTTGGTTTTACATTAATATTAGTATTTTTTAGATTCTTTTTATTGCAAACTTCTAATTGGATATAACTTTAGTTTATTAAATATTTTTATATGTACTATAATATTTAACTTTTTTATATACTAGCTTTTTATAAACAATCTATTTTATTATTACTAGAGATGTTTCTAATTCTAATAAATTCAATCTTTTACTACAGACTATACATGTTTTTATTGCTTTTCATACTTCTCAAACCTTGGTTAAAGGACCACTCTCCTAAGCAATTACTTATATCTTGAATCTAAATAAAAATTGATTTGTATAGTTTATTAATTACCCTTCTAAGCAAGTACCCACAAGTTGGGTATAGAAATATTAGTACTTTTTAAACTAGAGATATAGGAATATTAATGCTACCTTGTCTTTTAGAATTTTTTTGTACAATTATCATTATTATAGTTTTTTGTAATACTGTAATTACATATAGTGCTCACTCTTTATGTTTGGATCTTCTTTCAGGAATTTTTATTTCAGCTTCATACCTGTATTTGAACTTACTACAAGACTTTGTATTTAATTATAGCCTATAAGGTTATAAAAACAAATTATTAAATATGTCTCCAACCTAACTTGAACTGTTAACCTTGTCTGTGAGTATTTGAAAGTTTAACCAATAATCTATAAAACCAAAACCCAACAAACAACAACTAAAATTGTTACAAAGCACAAATTACTAATATAATCTACCAATATATATTTAGTTTTCTACAAATATCTAGTTCAATAGTCAATAATAACTACTATCAGATATTCTTATAAGAATTGCTACAAAAACATAAGCTAAAATAATTAACTAAATCTTTAAAAAAATAAAAAAACATTTCTATTTGCATATTATATACAAAATTAACAAAACACTTTATAAAAAAATTTAAATACCAAGATACCAAGACTCATCAACAATATAAGAATAATAATAATAGCTTAAAACACCAAACCAATATAGCAAACAATGCTTATACAGCCACTAAATAGAACAGAAAAAATTACTTAAATAAAATAAAAATGATCGAAAATATTTATACAAAATAAATTACCTAAAACACTATTTCAAACTATAATCTAGGCGAGGCCTCTGACCCTCTTGGTATAATTGAATTATGAGTAAACTAGTTTAAGCCTTAGTTTTAGCTTTAGAATATATATAATTTATTCATGTAATATTCACATAATTTTTATTGATAAAACTGAGACAAAACCTCGCTTTGAATATATATATATTATCTTTAATATGATTTCTTATTAATATTACTATCTACATGATTTAAAACCATCAACTTTTTATGATTTCTTATTAATATACTATCAACATGTTTTAAAACCAATTCAAATAGATTGATTTTAACGAGGATAACCTGTAATTGTTTATTTTAAATAATAGTATTTTTGAAATCATTTATGATAAGTACTAATTAATACTAACTAATTCTTATTCCAAAAACGGAGGGACAGGAAAATATTTAAGAGTGAATTTAAATTCTCTATTATCTTCATACTGTTTAAACTTTTTAATACCATCTAAAACATTTTCTGCTGGACATTCATAATCTGGAGCCCAGTGAACTACAAAATCCCCGGGAATATATCTGTGTGGATATGTATTGAAAGTACGGTCATCATCTTCAAGGTAAAGTGTCTAAAATTGATTAATATATAAAAATAGTAAATAGTAAAAATAAAAATAAATATTTTAAACAACTATAATATAAATGATTAACTTACTCCGTTTTGATACTCCTCTTTTTGCATCAAAATATACATTGCATGTTGTTCTAACAACCCATGTTGATAATATTTTGTTTGCCTCTGAGTTTCTCCTAAAAATTTTCGACTCCATTCTGAATTTTTAATCAAGAAAACACCCGCATTCATTATATAGTCATTTTTAGGTCTAGCAATTACAAAATTAATATCATTAAATTTCTTTATTCCAACCATTTTTTTA